CAATTCTCCTGCCTCAGCCTCCTGAGTAGCTGGGATTACAGGCACACACCACCATGCCCAGCTAATTTTTTGTAGTTTTAGTAGAGGCGGGGTTTCACCATGTTGACCAGGATGGTCTCGATCTCTTGACGTCGTGATCCACCCACCTCGGCCTCCCAAAGTGCTGGGATTACAGGCTTGAGCCACGGCGCCCAGCCGAATGTAATGTTTTAAGGTTCGTTTACACTGTAGCATGCAATTGTAACAGTACTGAAACACCACGGCATGTATCTGAGCTTTATTCCTGTTTACGGCGGAACGATTTTCCATTCTATGAATATGCGTCATTGTTCATGGACATGAGGGCTGTGCCCCACCTGCTGGCATTCAAAAACGATGCTGCAGTGAAAACGCTTGTAGCATGTGCAACTCATCAGTGGTTCCCAAGGGCTGGGGAGAGCAGAGAATGAGGAGTGACTGCTAACAGTGTTCCCATTTGGGGTAATAAAAAATTATTACTTTGACTGGAACTAGGCAAAAGTGGTGTTAGCACAAATACAGTGGGCTTTCTAGAAAGAGAGAGAGAGAAAGAAAGGAAAGGAAAGGAAAGGAAAAGGAAGGAGGGAGGGAGGGAAGGGAGTAAGGCAGGGAGGGAGGGAGGGAAAGGAAGGGAAGGAAGAAGGGAAGGAAGAAAGGATGGAAGAAAGGAAGGAAGAAAGCAAGCCAGGCTTGGTGGCTCACACCTGTAATCCCAGATTTTGGGGGGCCAAAGTGGTGGATGACAAGGTCAGGAGTTCAAGACGAGCCTGGCCAACCTGATGAAATCCCGTCTCTACTAAAAATACAAAAATTAGCTGGGCATGGTGGCGTGTGCTTGTAATCTAAGCTACTCCGAAGGCTGAGGCAGGAGAACTACTTGAACCGGGATCCTGGAAGCAGAGGTTGCGGTGAGCCAAGATCACACCACTGCACTCCAGCCTGCGTGACAAGTGCAATGGTAAATTTCAGGTTGCATGTATGTTATCATAATTAAAAAAAAAACATTTTAGAAAGGGAAGTTCAAAAGAAATAGTAACAAAAGATAAATAAATAAATAAAAGAAAGGTAACGTTCACATCCTCTTAAGTGGGTCTGGGCCTGCGATGCAGCCCCGGCAGGTTTTTAATGACAGACGAAGGGAGAATGAGCTGCTTTGGTGAGTGGAGGCTGCCTTCTCCAAACATTGCCGGTCTCCAGAGTTTCTTGGTCTCTCTCCCTGGAATCACTCGCATCTTTTCCCTGCTTCTGGATCATTACTTGCCTGAAGCTCCCCAGAATAGCAGCCCCCACTGCACCACCATGTCCCGCCACTGAGATCTTAGAGGAATAAATGATTTAGAAACAAGAACCTCCAAGAAGAGGCCAAATGGGCAAGACCGGTGCCCTGGGGTGGCGCTCACAAACCCGCTCTGTGGCTCCCCAGTGTCGAAGGCAGGCGTTCTCAACTTTGGGACTGCTGACACTCAGGGCTACCTCATTCTTCCTGTGGGGAGCTGTTCTCTGTCTCATAAAATGTCTAGTAGCATCCCTGGTCTCTGCCAACTGAATGCCAGCAGCTCCTGCTCAGTCATGACAGCCAAAAATGTCTCCATAAAACACCCATGTCCCCATGGGGCTCAAAGTCACCCCCAGCGAGAACCCATGATCCAAAGAATGCAGCCGCAACTCCTTGGCACTCTCCCTCTGCTGGGATCCTCCACTTCTTCACCTAGCAAACCCCTGTCTACCATTAAGACACAGCCTAGATGTCACCTCCTCCATGCAGCCCTCCTGGACATTTCTCCCCAAGGCATATTTAGTTGCCCATTCCTGGGTGCTTTCAAATAATGATTCCCAGTCAATGGTAACAGCAGGCGTTGGTTCAATTCCCACTCTGCGCCTCCTACAAGCACTTTAAAACCCTTTGCTCGTGACTTTGTCCTGATGTTTGTCCGGACGTCACGTTGGAGCTGTGTCTATCCCTGGAACCTGACTGTGAGTCCCTGAAGCCAGGGACTGTGGTGTCTACGGCACCAATGCCGTGAAGTCAACAACAACGCTGAGCACAGCTACCCTTTACCGGATGTGTCCTCAGGACCAGGCACTGCGCTCGGCACCGCTCGCGCTATTCTGATTGAATCTTTACCCCCACGTTAGAAGTCACCTGCTCTGATCCCTATTCTGCAGACAAGGAGACAAACCCATGACACACCACTTGCGTTGGGTGCCTTGAGTCCGAAGTGGGGGCCCAGGATCTGAGCTTAGGTCTCAATGACCTCAAAGACTGTCTTGTCCGAAGCTCTTGTTACACTCATCAGTTGCTGGTGGCTGTTACCGAGTTTCAAAGGCCACTCCTGGGTTAAGGAGATGCTGCTTCACCCGACTGACCATCGACACACTCTTGTTCCTATCAACTCGGATCACAAAAATCCGCAGGGAGGGAGGGGAGGAAGGAAGGAGAGAAGAAAGAAAAGGAGAGAGAGGAGGGAAGGAGGAAAGAAACATGGAAGGAAGGGAGGAGAAAAAGAAAGAAAGAAATGGAAAGATAAAGAAAGCAGGCGCA